GTTGGTTTGAAGATCTGCAGCAACAAATGAAGAGAGAAGAACTGCAGCAATACGCAGACACTGCACCTCCGGGTAATCATACTGCAGCAGCTAACCCAGCAGCAGCAGCAGCAACTGTAGCTGCTGCACAAGCTGCTGCTGCAGCAACAGCTGCAGCCACACGTATCTTGTATCTGTCTCCTTCTTCTGTCTCTCTGCTTCGCTTCATATCCTATTTGCGTGTAATCTGCTTCTGTCTCTATAGTTAAGTGTATGAATTACATGTATGGACATTATTTGTTTTTTGTTTATTTTATTTATTTTATTTATTTATTTTACTTATTTTCTTTTTTTTTTACTATTTTCAGCTTTCTCCTCCTTCGCCTCCGCTCCGGGTGTCTTTGGGGGCGGCAGACTCCAGCCGACTGCCCGCCGCCTCAAGGCCTCAGTACTGCGGGAAGAAGCAGAGACCCAAGCGTATGCAATGCCCCGCTAGCTAGCTAGCTAGCTAGCTAGCTAACTAACTAATTGGACGGATGGCTAGCTAGCTGGTTGGCTAGCTGGGTAGAGAGGGAGCAACTGTGGCGTTGGTTTATTGAGCAGCTCAGCTGGAGGCCTTTGCCTCCTCCTGGCAATGTCTGCACATCAACAATACTAAGCCCTAAACCCTAAACCCTAAACCCTATATTATTTCTTCTTCGTCGGCTCTGTATCAATACCTGTCTCCGTCTGCTTACGGCTGGTGCATTCGTTCCTTTCTCTCGGATGCCGTACAGCAGTTCTATTTGTTTCTTTGTTTGTTCGTTCTTTTGTTTGTGTGTTTTTGTGTTTGTTTGTTTGTTTGTCTTTATTTATTATATGCAACTAGCGGAGCCACCAACACTATTACTATTGTTATTGGTGTTGGTTGTTTTCGTTTTTATTATTATTATTGTTGTTGTGTGTGGTGTTGTTATTGTTGTTGTTACTGTTGTTCTTGTTGTTGTTATTTTTGTGTTTGTTTTTGTTGCTGTTGTATTTGGTGTTTACTGCGGGGCATAGCTCGTGCTTCTATCTCTTTGTCTCTGTCTTTCTATTTGCGTCTATCTGTCTTTCTTTTTGTTTCTGTTTGTCTCTCAATTTGTCTCTTCTTGTATCTGTCGGTGTTCCTTCGTCTTCGTTTGTCTCTCCTTCTTGTCTCCTTCTGTCTCTTCTTTTTGTCGCCCGCCGTCTTCTGTTGTATTTCTTTGTCTCTGTTTGTTGTATATGTTGTGTTTTTTTGTTTGTGTGTATTTTCTATGTCTCACTTTTGTCTCTGTCTGTCTCTTTTCTGTGTTCATATTATTTGTCTCTGTTGTCTCTGTTTGTCTCCCGTCGCTCGTCTGTCTTTTGTTCCTTCGTTTCCTTTTATATATCTTTTTTCTCTTTAGCCTCCCTTTGTCTCCACCCTTCTCCATTTGTCTCCTTTTTGTTTCTGTTCGTCTCCTTGACGTCCTGTCACCATCATTGCTTGCCAAGTGCAAGCATTAAACCCTAAACCCTAAACCCTAAACCCTCATTTAAATGTCGAGACCCAAGGGAGGGCCTCGTTGCTGGCAACTGCAGCACTTATGGTTTATGAGGGTTTTTTTATTTATCAGTTGTTTGTCTATAAAGACAGCCAGCAAAACTTTTTATTACAAAACTCCTTTATAAACCCTAAACCCTTATCCCTAACCCCCCAGTGACGAACAGAACAAACTACACCAAACAAAGCAGAGGCAATGTGTGGGCTTCCTTTAAGAATAAAGT